GCTCCGCGGTTTACGTGGTGAGGGCGGTCGGAAGTCCGTCCTTTGTGTATGGCGCCGTCCTTTGCAAAGGCGACGTCCGTTGTGCATGACGCGGGCCTCGGCTGCACACGGCACCAAGGTTCAGCTGATTCGGAGACTTCTCGCTAGGTGGCGGGGCTGGTTTGCGGCCGCGGTGGTTTCGGGAGGCTCAGGCCGGCTGCCGAGCGATGAGAAAATCCGATTCAGGTGGTCTAAGTGCTAATTATTGTTATTGTTAATTGGTACAACTTAATATTTGCAACCATTTTCGCGACATTTCCATTTGTTAGGCATCTTATAAAGATGTTGTCGGCTCCCCATCCCATTCATGCACTGAGGCTGACGTATGGTGGTTCCTGGACGGTAAAGCGGAGGTTACGGAGCTGGCGTAGGCACGAGGAGCTGTCGCGTTATAGGGAGGTGGGCGCTCGAGCCTTCTTTCCCCCAAACATTAAGGAAAATTGGCACTAAGCTTATGGGAGTGAATGGAAATGGAAACGAACCCAAGTGTATCTGATCCCCCAACCCCAACTTCAACCCTGAAAAACTTCCCTCGTTGCCGTGAGCTTGACGTTTTTGGGTTGCCATGGAGAGGGGCAGAAGAGCCTGAGATTCGGTCCGCACGACATACGATGGAGAGAACTGAAACGCACCGGACGGACCATACCGCCGCTGGAACGGAGAATAAAAGTTTTGCCAGAACAACGAAACACCGCGATACGAACCACCAGACTGCAATGGATGGGATGCACGTGGGAAAAAAAGAACCAGAGCTGCTCTTTGGGGAGCTCTGGACCTGACCTGAAAACGGACTGGACCAGACCTGACCGAGCTTTGCCGGGCCAGTAGAACAAACTTTGGAAGGTGGTAGAAGTCGGAGCCCTCAAACCGAATCACACCGGACAAGCCCGGGACTGGGTCAGACTCGACTGAGCTCGAATGCACCGCAATGCGTGGTATAGAGAACCTGAAGGGACTGGCAGGTGTTAGAAATGAACCGCTTGGGCCGAACTCTGGCGACCGCACGAGCGGTCTGAACTGGCCACAGCCTGACCGAACTGGACTGGACAGAAACTAAATATGGCCACACCGAAGGTACACAAACCGAACCAAAGTGAAAGACGCCAGGTGGGGCCGGACAGATGACTGAGAAGGATCGCAGAAGTCGGAAACCCCGGGACAGATGACTGAGAAGGACCGCAGAAGTCGGAAAACCCGGGACAGACGACTGAGAAGGACCGCAGAAGTCGGAAACCCCGGGACCGGAATGAATCAGAGGCCGCTTTGATGGCACTCAACTGGACCGAATCGGAGTGAGCCTCAACGATCCGCGGACGGCCAGAAGCCTTCAGGAGGGGCCAGAGGGTACTAGAAACGACCGAAGAGATCAGAGTACAGAAGAGCTCGGGACTGGGCAGCACCTGACGGGGCCAAACCGGAAAGGACTTACCAGAGCGCGTCGGGGGCCGGGCCTGAGCGGAGATCTTAACCCAAGCAGGGCAGAGTTGGATTAATTATGAATGAACGCGGGGCTTCAAGAACATCGAATAGAATCAAAATGGTAGCAAAGGGGATCTGGCCAGCCCCGAAGCAATCTGAATTGTCCCAAAGTGACCTGATTACAGGGACTGGCGTGACATCAAGCACGCCAATGTGCCGCTGCGCTCCTACCGATCTGCAAGGTTCATCAGAAAGATTGTCAGACATGATATAACGATAGGAAATTGTTCATCGCCGGCTTAAATCTATAAAATGGTAGGACAGCAAGTCGTTAGTGCACTTGCCGTGCAAAGGGGTACATTTGTACAAAAACGTTGGATACTTAAGTTCACGTGACGTAGTAAAAGTGATATGCGTGTAATGCGTATTGTTTAAGTGATGTTGTCACTTAAAATGTAAGCAAATAAGCGGAGCGCTTGCCCACATTTGTTTATCGTTACTGTTTCATAAGGTCGTTTAAGACGGCAGTGTGGCATGTCTCATTTCACTAACATTAGAGCTCTGAAGCTGGCCTCTCGATTCGCTTTTAACAGGGTTTTTCTAGTCAGGAATGGGGCACACACACACACACACACACACACACACACACACACACACACACACACACACACACACACACACACACACACACACACACACACACACACACACACACACACACACACACACACACACACACACACACACACACACACACACAGACACACAAACACACACACACACACACACACACACACACACACACACACACACACACACACATATATATATATATATATATATATATATATATATATATATATATATATAGTGGGTACATAGCGCGGGCTGTGATACAATCGCCATGGCCCATAAATATTTGCATACGTTAACGGCAATCCCTTTCACGTGTAGCCTGTGACGTCAGCAACCGGTGGTTTCACGCCACGTGACCGGTCGCGGTGCGGTCGACCAGAAAACAGGCACTAGCATAGGTAGGGGAACGTTTCAAAAAGTTGGGGTGGGAGGCAGATTTAGAGTATATCTCAGGAACTTTCACTGAGAAGCAGACCCGGTGACTGGGGTGGAGTATGCACATAACCGATTTTGGAACTAATAAAATGTCATGGTTGCTATCCTAGATGTGCATCTGCCGCTCTTGTACACTAGTGCACAATCTTGACCATTCGACTCATCTATGCCATTTGGCAAATAAGACCATCCAGCTTTTTAAGATTATTCGTTAATTTCAACATTGTTTTCCACAAGAAGCGAAATTCCGCGAGCGTGAAGGCGTTTGGGTCTTTGGGGAGACATCTGCCCTCTCAGGGTGACGCCAAAATATGATTTGGACACAGGCTGGCTAGAATTTTGAATGCCAATTGGTGGCCCATAGTGCGCCAGAGTTTTTATGCTCCTAGATTTTGCCGGCTGCTTTTCAGAGATAAGATTTGTCGCGGCATTGTAGGCGAGAGACAAATTCGAAAGCTTAAAATATAAACTGCCAAAAACAATGTGATAAAGCCATAAAGCTGGATTTTCTCCTGCAAAAACCAGGTCACAGAATGATCCTTCTTTCGATCTTCCCTGTCGGAGCCCCACTTCCCTCCGCCGTCGGGGGCCACTGCCCTGGCCCGGCTGTTCCCCGCATGGCTGACTGCGATCCGCTTATATGACTGCTTTACTGCATGTTTATAAATCAGCACTCCTCATTATTGGTGTGAAGCATGCACTGGATACCTACAACAGCACAATTTACGAATTATCTTCCTTTACTTCACACTACAGCAGAAAATGAGCTCTCGAGGAGTTGCCTGCCTCAGGCATGAATTGATCCATCAGACATTCATTTGCCCCTCATTCAACGTAGCCGACGACATCTGCTTTTATAGGTAGGCAGGGGCGTAGCGGAACATTCCCAAGGGAAGGAGCACCGGATTAACCAAAAACCTCCCTCCTGGTAGTGCTTCTCCGCCTCAAAAAATCACTGGATATAGCTCACGCTCAACAAGGGACACAGTTGTCTTCCTTTTATTGTTATTTTGCTTTGTAACTAGAACAGAAACAGAAACCAGAAGCTACCGCGTGATCCATTCTGTTTGTGTTTTAGTCGATAGGCTGCAGAAATGGGGCGTTGAAGGTGCTTCATTTCGCGATGTTTCAGAGGATTTTTTCTAAACCGTAGAACTCAGAAGGTTTGCCAAATTTGTTGTGTTCTTGAGGGATATTGGGGACCCTGTGTACGTAAACTGTGGATAGAAATGGATCCAGAATGTATATTGACATGGCTAACCCATGTTCTGCTTAAAATGCTTAACATTCAGTCGGGACTGAGAAACATTATGTAACATAACTTTGAACATGCAGGCTCGCAAATTTTAGCAACAGCGCAACGCTCGGCGTCACAGTCTCCTTAGGCCGCGCGGTGTTGGCCTCGTGGCAGATACTAAGCGATGGTCAATGGGCAGACGATAAAGATGACGTATCTTGAGTTAAATGGCTGGTGAACTAGTTAAACCGACACACACGTTTAAGGTCGTACGAAAGTAAGTTAAACGTCGCTTAAATCTGAAAAATTGGGGGAGAGCCAGTTAACACCGCTGCCGCTCCCCCCCCCCACCCCACCTTCAAAAGTGGTGGCACGGTCCCCTGCACCTCGTCCCCCCTCCCCCCCCCCCCCCCCCCCCTCCTGTTGCTACACCAATGGGCACTAGACAGCCTTCGCTCAACGCGTAAAACGTAAGTACGAAACAGGACGGCACCAATTTAGCCTTATTGCTAACCGGGGACGAAGCCCAACGCTCAGAATAAGTGGATGCCTGCGGTCCCACACATGCCAGTTCCGAGGCACGGATAATGGTACTGGTCACATTGCTGCAATCAGAGCAGAAAGTTTGTGCTCAGTTGGAGATCGATTGCAAATGCATGATCCTGTTTCAGCCGCTGTCTGCCCACGCGCAGTCGCCCAGGATCACAGCGGCTGGCCGCAGCCAGCGTTCCAGCACCGTGAGAATGGTGGCATTTAGGCCCACCCACCCGTTATTTGTACATGGAAGAGGAATTTCGCCTGTTCCGTGCTCGTGTTGTATACATTAAATGCTGACAAGCTACACGATCTTTATTGACAGGCAAAAGGACAACACCGAGTCATGATAAAAGGTCGGTGCTTGTGATGCTTCGCCTGCGGAATTTAAACACCCAACCGCTGGTCCGCTGTGTCAGCGGCCCAATTGTGAAGGCGGTCACAGACTCATCTGTGAGATGCAGCCTTGTTGGTTATTCCGGCCGCCGGCTTTCGTCGACACTAGTAAGGCAGGGGATCGCGCGTGGTAAACCCCTGGAGCGCCCGTGATGAACCCCTTGCGCGTGCGTGATGAACCCTTCGTGTACGTGCGTGATGAATCCCTTGTGCGTGCGTGATGAACCCCCTTGCGTCGTGCGAAGCCGTGTCCAGTGGCCAATGCGGGCAAAGACTTCGCCGCGTCAGGCGCCGACGCCGTTCCCTACATGGAAAACGTGGCCGAGGAGACGACAAGTAGCGTGAAGAAAACGGCGCCGACCAGCCGGTCGAGCAGTTCGGCGAGTGCCGTCCACTCGTGATCGAGCGCGTCGGCCTTCTCCGCCGCGTCCGGCGCCACGGTCAGGCAACAGACGTGGGACAGCGCGCCGCTCAGACAGTGGCGCAGGCAGGCGGGCAGGCGGTGCGGGCGCGGCCGGCCCAGCGCCACCATCACCACCGCCCACACCAGCACACATAGTGCCACATACGTGGACACGTGGTAGGTGCGCAGGACCCGCGCGCGGAACGCGGCGTCGCCCTCCGCGCCGAACTCGGTGAGCGCGGCCGCGCCGGCCGCCGCCACCGCCAGGCAGGGCAGCGTCAGCTTCTGCGGCGAGTCGGGCGGCACGAGGAAGGTGGCGGCCGACGCGATCGCCGATACGACCACCGGCAGGCTGGGCCACACGGCGAACGAGCCTGCCCGACGCATCTCGATGGTCAGCGTCAGGTCGATGTACGGCTCCTCGCAGCAGGTGTAGAACTTCTCGTTGCGCCGGACGGTGGCGTCGTGCAGCTCCCAGAGCGGATCGGTGACGACATAGTTGGAGAGGTCAACCGTTTCGCTCACGAAGTCCACCGCGAAGCCGTCGTACGCCCACGAGCCGAGCTTGGCGTCGCAGCGGTAGCTATCCACCTTCTGTCCGGAGAAGTCGCGCATGCAGCGTACGCGGAACGCGGCCGGGCCCACGTGCGTGATTTCACCCGAGCTGAAGACGATGACCAGTGTCGGCGTCAGCCAGTCCGACCGCGGCCGAGGCAGCATGTTGTACATCATCACGTCCGGCGTCCAGATGTCGGCCCGCGGCAGGTGCACGTCGTGTACACCGCCGTAGTCGGCCGGCTCCCAGCGTAGCGCCGGGTCCACCCACTGAAGGCTCACCCACAGCTGGAGCGTGGCCTCGCTCTCCCGGACGTGCAGATCCACGTGCTGCAGATCCAGGCCGACCGACACCGACACGGTTTCACTCGCGTTGAGGACGGCCCGCGAGCGCGGGTCGTAGTTGGCCAGCAGGTCGGCCAGCAGGCGAGTCTCGTCGCTGCTGGCGCTGCTGGGCAGCACCAGCTGCGCCAGCAGCAGGCAGCAGAGCGGCAGCGCGAACATGGCGGCGGCGGCGGCGTGACTGGCGCGCGCGGCCCGGCCGCGCGACGGTCACCGCTGTTAGATGTGACGCGTCGTGTTTGTCTTTGCCGTCCGTCGCCAGGGCTGCCGCTCCTGGAAGCAACAACACCGGGCTGTAGTTTCTTATGCTGTTAGGGGGAGGGGCTTATCCCCAATTTTGAGAGAAAAGTCAACAAATTCTGAGGGAAACACGCATTTTGACGTACTTTGGGTTGCGTTCGCCTTTGCTTTGCTCAGCCGCCCATCTTATGTCATGGATTTCCGCCCCCGCCGGCCAATAAAGCTCCCGAGTCGTCTGTGACGAGGCTCTGCAGAACACCCGTTTGCTTGATTTTCTCCTAGCAGGGAACTCGCAGCTTGTATGTAGACAGCATATGTGCGTTGCAACCTGCTTCCACAACAAATGCGTGAGCGCGCGCGCGTGTTGTGTGTGTGTGTGTGTGGTTGTGTGTGTGTGTGTGTGTGTGTGTGTGTGTGTGTGTGTGTGTGTGTGGTGCGCGCGTGTGTGTGCGTGTTTGTGGTGTGTGTGTTGTGTGTGTGTGTGTGCGTGTGTGTGTGTGTGTGTGTGTGTGTGTGTGTGTGTGTGTGTGTGTGCGTGTGTGTGTGTGTGTATGTGTTGGCGTGTGTGTGTGTATGTGTTGGCGTGTGTGTGTGTGTGTGTGTGTGTGTGTTGTGTGTGTGTGTGTGTGTGTGTGTGTGTGTGTGCGTGTGTGTGTGTGTATGTGTGTGCGTGTGTGTGCGTGTGTATGTGTGTGCGTGTGTGTGCGTGTGTGTGTGGGTGTGTGTGTGGGTGGGTGTGGGTGTGGGTGTGGGTGTGGGTGTGTGTGTGTGTGTGTGTGTGTGTGTGTGTGTGTGTGGGCGCGCGCTTCTGGCCGGTTTCCGCTTTGTTCCGCATAGCCATCATAGTTTGAATTGAGGCTAAGCCAAGTAGGCCACGTGGACGCATTCAGCAGGAGGACACGGTTGAATGTGTCTGGTGGCAATGCGACTTGCATTGTACTCATATATAAAGACGAAGCCGGCTTCGGTTTTGGGTTGGAATTTGCGCAGCCCCTGTTTTATCTTCAATGGCCTTGATTTTAAGCCATTTTACACGACTGGCCACGGGCTCGACTTCGGCTTCGTGTTTTGTTTTTTTAAACGGCTGGCTTCAGTTTACGTTTCAGGTTTGTCATTTTTGACAGCTGACTTCAGATTCGTCTTTCACTTAAATATGACGGTGGTTTCAGCTTACTTTGTCACAATGATCTTTGACTGCAGTCTCGACTTACTCCACAAAATCGTCTTGTCCGCCCGGTGACTCAAATACACCACGCCACTTTTTGAGGCTACGACGCATAGCTAGCATCTTTTAGGTACATAGCTGAACATTATGAGCGTGCCCGGTATTTTCAGGACCAATTATCCCGCACTCTGTAAAAGAGAACATGCTGGTACATGTTCTCCATTACTCCACTGATCTCTAGTGATGTTTGCCGACCCCATGTAGTCTAGTATACTTCAAAATGGTTTGGTATGCAAAAGCGCATTTTATACTAAATTCAACTTGGCCTTCGGCATCGTGAAGCCCTATCCAAGTTCAAAGCCGTTGACTTTGGCTTCGGCTTTGAGGGTGCATATCTCGAAGTCACTTTGGCAAGGAGCAGCAATGAGCGCAGCGGGCAGCAAGGAGCCAGGAGCATTTTGGCCAGCGGTTTTTAGGATCAGGAGGTGGACGAGGGAGCTTGAGATTGAGGGTGAATCTTGAGATATCGAATGACGACCTGTGGGAATACCATAAAAACACGGAATATCTAGATTATTCAGATTTAGTGTTCATGAAGCTGTTTAAATCTTAGCACGTGCCCGGGCGGCCGATTGAATGCCCTTCGCTCGGGTGGAAGGGAGGGGGTGGGGGTCAATTGAATCCCCTGAGACTGCAACTAAGCTGGAAACACCAAATGCATGGATGTTGGCCTGTATGTGAACTCACTTTGGTCAAAACTTGAAGTTCCTATGTCATGAACTTCGAGTTGAATAAGGTGAAGCAAGGCCATACTCCACATTGATGTCAAAAGTACCCTCAAACCTTCTCATGCAACCGCCGTGAACCTAGATTACTGCTCTAAGCAAAGGTTTGCTGACGTTCATTTAAGGTCAGTGATATCGTTTGACTTTGGAAAGGTCATGGTAGCCAAAATCAGACAATGCTTCTTTGATTTCTGCATTTTAATAAGCGTGAAGAATTACGTTAGGTGGCATGTTCCTCAAAACAGCATGTTGACTCGAGTAATTTTAGGTCGGTGGCCTAACCTGACCTTTGAGAATCCAATGAAGATGTATGATGAGGTCCCTGTTGTTAGGAAATTCAAAATGAGCATGAGAAACTACCCCTATAGAGCAACCTCTCGGGGAAGAAACAGGTGGGCTTTGACCTTGGTCTGAACTTCATACCTGACCCTTGGTCAACGAAATGTGTTCATTCAATTATTGTGTTACCTAATACACCATCTCATATGTGTGGCTTTGTCTAACACTTCGCTGTTGCATCAGACTGGACAATTTCCTAGAAATTACCTTTACTTAATCCATGATCAGGCCATGACCTGCCATAGGTCAGCGACCTTACAAGACACATGTAAATATTTATACAAAAAGGGTTATTAAATTGTCTACATCTATGCGAAATTTGGCGCCACGTTGGCGAGCCGTTCGGAAATCACTCCGGAAAATTCATGGGGGTCAAATCATGGGGGACCCTCACCTTTACGTATTTGAACTGACCAGGAGGCAATGCGAAACACAGGAAAGCATAAATTTGGCAGAAAAGAAAAGTCCGAACGGTGAGGAATTCCAGAGTTGTAACACCTGCATGTGTGAACAAGCAAGCCTCAGACGTTGCTAGGGCTTATTTCCGCTTTTGGGTCATTTTGCATAGTCAAAATAAAAACAAAGCCAACCTGCCCAAAGGTTAATAGGATCCGGAATCGACTGACTAAAGTGGTCGTTGGTCCAATGACTGCATGTTCTGTGTAGAAAACGCTTTTAAAATGGCAATTGGTTACAGTGCATGCATTGCAAAACTTTGCGTCACGAGTTTCACACATAGGAAAACACGAGTCCGCGGAATTTTTCTCGCAACTTTTGCCGGTAAACCGACACGTGGTCATGCTGGCTTCTTTATAGATTCGCCCCCCCCCCCCCCACAGATCCTCTTAAGTGTAGGTTGGGAGCTCGGGTACAGGGTAGCGCCGGCGCTAGCAACTAATATGGCGTATTTGACAACAAAAAAAAAATACGGGATCACAAAAATACGGGTTTGGAAGATATATCTAGCATTCTTTTCCCGATTGTTGTCGCTTATTTAGGTTTTTCTTGATATAGACGGACGAGCCACTGCAACAACAGTATTCATCCTTTCACTTGACGGGATATATCACGGTGACATTCATTGTTGTCCACTTGTGCTTTGTTGCAATGTTCTTTTTTTACAAGAGCTGTTGAACACGTTTCCGCATTGTCGTAGCATTCTTATTTCTGGAAAAAATGAAAGCGTTATGTAAAGTGCCAAGTTGAACTATCAAGCCCAGTTTTACCTGACTCAGACCACATTCAACCTTGTTTTTTTATAACTTCGTGATGTGGCTGACGAGAAGTTACCAATGGCGTCCTAATCGTTGCTCTAGCTTGCTTAGTTTAGTGATTGACTGAGGCCCCACTGTAAGGCGTAGGTGAAGAGCAGCCGTAGAACGAGGGTAAATAGCGCTTGGGGAAAACGCTGGGGATATTTCAAATATGTGAATGCTTGGGTCTTCTTAATGTGAATAACACTGTGGATTGATGCCGATCACTCTAAAATATTGCAACCATGGCAAGATTCCTTTGGTGTACGGAGACTTTCCTGTGTCTTCGTGCGAAGGATTTCACCCAGGGCCATACGAACATAACGGCCCCTGGGGGCACTTGCCTACACCTCCTTACCAAGTGTATGGCATATACCAATATTAAGTAGGTACGTGATTTAACACCGTCAGCTAAAAAGGCATCACGTTGATGCGTAGAAATAGGAAAAGTGAGAATATGTAATGCTGCTTTAAGACACGCAAAAAAAGACGCGCACCTTGGGCATGCCAAATTTGCTTCTATAGTCAACTTCGTCGAATTGTGTCTACTCAATGTTAAAGAGATATCCCACATGTGCGTGGATTTTTTAGCTGAAGTAGCCATCTTGAAGATCATTTTGTGCAGTTTACAGCCCCGCCCTTCTTAAGAGCCAAGCCCTTCCAGTTTCTATGCTGCACGCCCACGAAAACACGCAGACTATCTCGGGGAGACATTTCAAGGTCAGCCAGGAATCTATGACGTCATAACAACGTAATCCAAACTCTGTCATTCCATTGGTCACGCGGCGATCAAGGCAAATAAAAACCGATGGTTGAGTCGCTCATAACTGACGTTTGTGAGCAAGATTTTGAGATGCAACGACCGTTAATCAATCAACGTTGTGCAGGGTAAAATGGCGTTATCAAAGAATGACGCATTGAAGAGCGTATTTGATAAACAGAGAAAATCTGTTGTCTAGGGTAGTCTAATTCCATTAAAAATATATCGATAATTGTAAATGGGCTTAATTCATATCTGTTGCTTGCTTTTAACATCTTCGATATGGAGCATCCACTTTAAATCCAGCCTTACGCCCGTGATCTGACAAAACGCAACTGTGCAAGTGATGTGACCGTGCATGGCTGCCCCAAGCGTCATGCATGCACGCTACATCATGATTCCGCCACGTGCGGCACCACTGCCGACCGCTGCGCAGACGCCGCGCCGGCTCACCAAATCGCCTCGGCGGGCAGGGCCAGCTGGAGGATCCGACGTGGCCCACCGTCGACGCCGGCTGTCGTCACGCGTTCTAGCCCTCGCTT